AAAGGTACTATTATTATTATTATCCTTTAGTGGCCTGGACAGATGAAATTTTGATGATGCCGAATCAAGCTTATGGGGTGATGGGGCAGTACAATCGAGCAAAAGTTGGCAATTGCTTCCAGAGTGTGAGACTTTTGTGAGGGCGGGCATTGTCAAGCTGGATAAAAAATGTCTCTTCGATTATTGTTATGCCGCACATGCCGACGACCTCAATAACTGGCAATGCACAACATTTGCTGACTAAAAGCTCTAGGAGCAGTTGCCGGTTTCTGATGTGTCTCTTCGCATGAATAAATTCATCGGGGCGCTGCAATATGTCTGATGATGGTGACAGGACGGTCCAAATGCGACCGACCACTCAGCTGCATTTCTCCATTTTCTGAAGCTTTAATTATTTTCCCCCAGCATTCAACCGTGCTCCCATTGATTGCATAACTTCCTACACAGCGCAAAAATGGTTGTGAATTTTCCCAGAGTTTTTTTTTCTCCGCCACCAGAAACTCATTAAAGCTCGTTGCTTGCAATGCATGTCCTTCATAGACACCACCTTGACGTACAATTAGAACAGCGTCATATGCGAAATATTCGTGAAGTCACACGCATGTATGATGGAAACATCTATGCTGCAACCTGAAAGAATTTAATATTGCATTTCTTATTTCTGGACGAGAAAACAATGTGAGTCATTACTGTTTGAGCAACCCTCATATATCTGGTTAAATGTTCTGGTTTCTGTTCCGATTTGGGCAACTTGCAAATTTATACATATACCGGCTCCAATCCACTGCTTTTCTATGAGCCTTTTGGTTCGGATGTCGATCCGGGTGGGGTCCATAACCGCAGCAGTTATATTTTACATGGATCACGAAGATAGTTATAGCTATAAAATATTCATTTCAAATTCAGTTCATATTGTTCATGGTTTCTTGACATCCAGTAGCATCATGTCTAAATTCTGTTCTTTTTTTCTTGTTAGGTTTTTAATCAAGCGAATCAAGAAAAATATCGGTATGCACATTTTCGTCGCGTGTAAATTTAACTGAATTAATTTAGCTGCGCCTCGCGCTAAATTTTGTAGTTAAAGCTATTTTATGTTGTTTTATTGACTACAATACTTTTCTCTACCATGTTTCGATCTCGCGATCAGCTATATCGCCCATAAAACCGCTGCAAAATGGAACAACAGTAGTTCAATGGGAGCATTCCTCTCACAACCAGCGTGTTCGGCGCTGAACCCGCATAAATACATCATTATCAGCGGCGGACGATCATATCAACATCCAGAGCCCGGCACCCCAGTATAACGACGCCATATAGTGATAAAGCTACGAAGAACAGCTGGCACCATAAGCCTATCAGAACGTGCAAGGGGACGCTAGCCAGGCCTCGCGGTTAAGATGCGAAACTAGCACCCCTTAAAAAAATTTGAATGGTATAGAACACAGTTCGTACTGAAAATCCAGTTGTTGAAACAACAGAAGTTCAACAGCAGACATCACTCCAATTAGAAGCTTTTGGCGTTGATTTAGGGGATATAATAACAATATATGAATAGGTTTATTTCCCAACAACAAAGGCAAGGTGCTGTTGGAAAATATATAACCTTATACCCATGCTACATAAAGGCGTTCTTACAGGGCAGCACAATATACAAGTTAATTGCCAGTCACTTTCGGTGGTTTGAGCAGACTGTATGGAGACGACAGACACACCCTCAGCACAATCTTCGGGGGAGGTTTTGTTCCCTAATCACGTTATAAAATCTATAGAAACCTAACAATTCGTAAAGATGTTACCATGGTTTAAAATATCAGCTCATGAATAAACAGCCCATGTGAAAACGAACCCTCTATTGGATATAACGTCTTTAGTTTCGGTTTCAAAATGAATGTCCTGTAATGGACAACGTTTTGGGAACTTTGTCCACAGGTGGCATTGTTTAGAACGTGTCTATCTAGGTTCTAACATATTTGTTTGACACCAAGACACCAAGACCCTATCTTCCGACCCTGACTTCAAAAATCCATTGTGAGTTTCATCTCCTTATTCGGTATTGTCTTCTCTGCTGCCGACCGGATCATCATCACAGTACCGTTAGTCGTCATAATTCTGTGTACGCCGCGAACTTGACAAGACCGATCATATTCATATAAAACGAAATAAAATACTTCAAATGCAAAATGCCCTTTATTTTGGTATGTTCCTTGTTTGAACTACGCTCTAATGATTATGAATTTTATGCGTATTTTTTTAAATATTTATTGAGTTCGGTCGCGCTAGCTGCTGTTCTTCTAGAAATAGTCTCCATTGTTCTACGCTGGTTTAGCAATACGGATCAATTACACTACTTATCTCTGCGTCATGTTGGTAACGTTATGAATCGAGATTATCTATAGGGTATTTGAAACGAATCAATGGGTATGTCCCCACACTCATGCTTTCTATTCTCTGCTTTATCTCGTATAGAGCTTTTCAATAATCGCCTTCAGGACGCTGCCATCTTTGTCTACTGGGCTGTGGAATTCGTTCTAAGCGTGCGCAGTACTTCGCTTCCACAAAATATGAGACCCTCGCACATGCGTCCACAGCACACTCACTCAGCATGTTTTGCCTGGATGATAGGCGCTGGGAACGTTTATAGCTAATTCGAGAATGCAGGATTTAAAAAAAAAAAAATATTAAACAGGGTCCTGCTTAGAAACGTCATCACACTTCTAAGCTTGAGCGAGCGTGGAACTATTACCTTGAGAAAATCGTTTGCAAATTCAATCCCCACAGATTTATGAAGAAACCTTTAAAATGTAACATGATTAAACATTATTTTATTGTGTTTAAACAACTCATGTGTTTTTACTTGTGTTACGTAGTAACACGCGCAAAAGTAAATTACATAGTGGTTCAAACTTCAACTCATAAGTAGGGCCTAGCATTTTTTAGGGTTTCCTCTTTAAATCCAATGGAATTTTTATTGTTGTTGTTGTTGTTGTTGTTTTGTTTCAAAAATTCGGTGTCCCTTGTTGTCAATACTTGATGTCGGACAAAAAAATCCACGTTTATCAGAGCTTATGTGGATAAACGCCTATTTTATGTATGCATGTTTGATAAGAAAAAGAGACGAGAAAAGGAATGGGGGTTCCGAAGAAAGAGGCAGCCTCGGTGAATGTTTAGGGGGCTGTCTTCCGGGTTAACTCAAAACAATGCCCTAAATTAGCCTTTTTTTTTTTTTTTTTTTGCTGCATTAAACTTGTGCGTTTTTTATTCGAAGACGGCTCCAATTCGAGGCTCTTCGGTTTTCCCCGATATTTGTTCAACCGGCTCCGGGGGTTAATTTTCGGGGTTTATCGGTATATACTGAAAACACGATAGCCGACTAATAAATACATATTTCTGAATTATTGTCCGCATCCGATGTATAGTTCCCAGCCTAGCTGAAAAACAAGCTCTTCATTCGATGGACTGCCTTTGGGGCACGTGCAATATTTAGTCTGCACATATGACTATCTGCTCCAGGGTTTCGGAAACATATCTCCCCAGAAAATAAAAAAGGCTCGGAAAAAATGGTTCCAAGGGGTAATAAATATATTTCCCGCAGAACCCATTTTGAAATTAAATATATATATAAACCATGCGAATTTTCCGCAATACAGTGATCACTTTATGGTTTGAAATGCCGTAATATAATTTTGTGATTAAAAAACAACAACCGGAAGATGAACTTTGGCGCACCGCCGTGAAGCGTAGGGCAGGTTGATTTTAATCATTGTCGGTCTTAGCGACGAATCATCCAACTGTGCCGAATGCCATCGAGGCCTTACGCAGAGAAATCGACCGTAACCATAAATTTGGTCCCGGGCCGAGTCGGCGATCCTCCCAAGAAGATGAGCAAGTCGACCGACGCTCCTCTAAACGCAACGCCGTCCCGAGAATTTCTGTGAGGCGTATTGGGACGATAACAATTAGGAGTTCCTGTGTGCTGTCGGCCATACAATTGGAGTCTAACATTTCTGCATGTACCGAGAATGCATATCCCTGTTTCTTCCCATTAAAAAACATGACAACACTCTAAACCAAAATGTGATTACAGTAATGAGGAAATTCTCGAGGTTATAATCTCTCATTTCAACAACACTTCCACGGGGAATACATTTTTTTTTTTTAAACCCCAGGTGATTATTTTTTTATAGTTGCTACTTGGGACCATTATTTCCAGGGCCATTTCGTCCCGGACCTTTTTTTCCGGGGCCGTTTATTCCGGGCCAAATTTTTCGAAATATGTTTTTTCTACACATACCTGCTCCAAATTGTGTGCTATAAGGTTCAACTCCTTTTCCAAGTTTTCTTTTTTTTAAGGTGTAGCTTGTGTAATCGTCCCCATTATGAGTTCTGCTAATCCGCACATCCTCACACTCTTCAATTTAACGTCGAACTTCTTTGTGGCTACGCGGTCTGACAAACAACCCGGCTTGTCATTTGGTCAAAAACAATTTCGAAAAACAAATGACTGTATATGCCGGGGGAGCAAACAGTCCGCCGCACAACGTAGGACATACAATTTTGAAACACGCGTAGTAAGCGACTGAAGTTTGGTAAATACGCTGATCGCGTACTGCGCTTCCGTCGTACCACTTCGTATCATCCCTGAGTGACATGTACCCGTGTTCAGCCTCCATGTCCGCGAAGAGCCCTTAGTTAAAATAAACGAAGCAACTTGTGGCAATATGACATGCCTCAATGGATAAGAGTGATCTACGTAGTACTTGTACCCTGTACTCTCGCTTAGCGAGTGATCGATTGATACATGAAAGATGCACTTCTGTCGGCGGATTCCGAATCGTTAGCTGCATACGCGCTAAAGCTATAAATAGAACACGCGTGTTTCGAACAATGAAGCAACGAACAGCTTTCGTTCCGGGGTTTGCTTGCTTTCAAGGTAACAAAGAAAAACCACGTACATAAAAAACAAGCCCCCATACACATGCTGGAAAGCAAACTCTACTCACGGCCGCTCCGCGGCGCTGCCTTCCCTGCACATTGACCCATGACGACGACGCTTGTTCTGTGGCGGTGGTAGGCGGTGTCGTTGATCCAAAATTCGGCGATGAAACACGACGCACACGACGCGAGAACACGGAACGAGGGCTTGCGGTACGGATGCGCGCGAGTAGACCCCGGGGCTTCTTCGGTCGGATCAGACTGCCGAGCGGAAGCAGGACGGGCGTTGCTCGACTTTTTTTGCCGGTGTTGTTCGGCGCGTGCAATGCTCCTCCTCCTCCCCGCCTATCGACACAACGGACGAGTGCTCTCGGCGCCGTCTGCTTTTGCTCCGCTCTCCGAGGTTTTTGTTATCGGTATATTTTGCTGCTCCTAAGTTTTGCTCTCAGCGCTTGCGCGCATGGATCGGACTCCGAGAACACTGCTTCCTTTGCGAGTACTGTGAGCTAGTTTCTATTTTTGCTTTCTGTTCGCCGCGTCGGCTGGTCTTGAGCGCGGGTCATCAGGGATAAAAGGACGCCATGAATAAAAAAGAACGCTATGGTAATGTCTTCGAAAAATATTTACGAGCTCGCGCGTTCACCTGTTGAACCATCTGACGACGTCAAAACAAGCGTCTCGGGCACTTTTACAACAAACAATTTAACCGTTTTTTTTTTCTTTTTTTTTTGTATTTGTAATTATAAAAGATGTCGCGAGCTTTTTTTTTTTTTTGGAACTTGAGGTTTAGTTGGCTTGCTAACCTTTAGAACCTTCGGCAAAGTGCGACGAGACCAGTGCTGCCCTACTTCCATTAAAAATTGAAAATTAAAAAAGTTATTTATAAGATTGCACGTTGTAAATTTTAAAAATGCCTTAGCTGTGTATATACAATATGGTATCAAACCCATATGCTCTCAATCATTAATTTCATTTGTTAAAATTTCCGCACCCTTTCTCCGCCATGCGGTGCAAACTCGTTTTCTTTTTTCTTTCTTTTTTTTTTTAATTTACGCGCAGGGGCGTGATAGTGATAGTGGAACTTTTTTTTAACGCTTGTCTAATTTCGAATATAAAGTTCTTAAATCGGGAACCCGGTCGGCCTCGAACTATCCGCGGGTTCGCTACATCCCTAATGTCTACTAAAAAAAAAAAAAGCATTTAATGAGAAAACGTAACAATTCCGTTCCGGTTCCTTTACCATATAACAAAATGTACTTTAAAAAACAAATCTGGGCAGTTAATTGCAGATGTTCTGTTACTAAGCGAACTATTTTACTTCTATTCCCTCAGAGATGAAATGTGACGACTAAACTTCAAAATAAAAAAAAAGAAACTGAAAAAATCTATTGTCGTGGGTTATTGAGTCGGGATTACCAAGGTGAGCGAGCATATTTTCTTATTTTGAACAGGAACTTTAACAGTTGGCAGGTTCAACCAGTTGTGATGTTTACAAAGGTCTAACCAAAACATACACAAACATTGTGCATTTATTTATTAATGTACTTTTGCTAATACCTTCAGGATAAACAATGAATTAAACAACACATAATTAACGAGTATAAAAAGTTTACAACTTGTTCCGGTCATTCCTACTAAAGTCTCAACAGTAAAATACGTTGTTGTTGTTGTTGTTTTCGGTAGATATTGGTGCAGTCATTTATGCACCAAAACTTATACCGCGACTTCCGATGAAGGCGCCTTTGGTCGTTGCTACGGCCACATGATCGGTTACGTCAGCCAATGGGGAACGGGGGCACCACACGGTAGCGGCCTCTTCTCAGGTGGTGACAAGATCTCAGTTACCACCGAAATTCGAGATGGGTCAACACCACGAAATTTGCTAAATTTAGGGGGCGAGCGGGCGCTGCTGAGGCGGCGACGAGATTCCAATTACCAGCGAAATTCGAGATGGGTCAAGGACACCGAAACTCGTTAAATTTAGCGAGCGAGACATCGCCCGCCAAGTCTAGCGGCTGGTGGTCACGTGGCTGGTCTTGGTCGCTTTCTTAGGTCGGTCTTTTCCAAACTTGTAGGGTAGGCATTACACCGAATCAAGTCAGTTCCAATCGATTGGTTTTTGAATAATTTTTTAACCACTTGCGTCACATTCATTGTGAGCTAATCACAAGCGTAATTGTATTACTTTTAGAGGTACTACAATTACTTCTAATCGTCACCATATTTTCCTCCCATTTCTAATGGCGCCACCTTCCTACGAAAAGGAATCCTCGATCTAAATCTCCGACAGCAGGACGGGTCACCCAACATGGTTGATTAAGAAGACAAGCGGTTTTTAATTCTATTATTCTAATCCCTTCATAAACAGCAAGAAAGGCCCGTTCTCAGATCGGCAGAAGGTTTGTCGTTTGGAAACACCGAAGCAATCGGGAAAGTAACGGTAGCTTGCTCAAGTAACGTCCAATTGTAATCAGTAATCAGTAATGCCACTGAATACTCTTTAACCACGAGTGACTGTAATTGTAATTCATTTGTTTGTTTGTTTTTTGAGTTACGTCGACAAGGCTGGTGTTTTCGTGCATTGTCAAAGTTGTGGCGTATTTTACCCCCAAACTACATATAGAGACGGCGCTGATTCATATATACTATAGACGTTTTCAGGCTTCATCGCATGGGCGAAGCCATGTTGAAATCACGTGACGCGGCTGCCATTAGGTGGCTTCAAATTGTCGCTCCGCTCTCCCTTCCGCGCCTTGGCGAAGGCTTTGCATTTGCGTTTGTCGTCGCGTTTCACCGCGGTTCTCGCCTTATTGTGTGAATCGTCGCTTCAATCCTTACATTTAAGGCTGGATTCCATGCCGTCATTATCTGCAAGGTGACATTTGCAGTTAATCTTGTAATATATTTTGGCAATGTTCACTGTCGGCGTACGGGATACGTGATAGAGGGGAGAGGGCGCAGGAATCAGCGTCGCCCTGGCGCGCATTGAACCCAATTATTCATGACAACTAAAGTTTGCTCGTGAATAGCGCCAAAATATTCGAAATGAGTATAGCGCGATCTATACTTATATTAGTTTGTATCGCTCGCTGTGTATGGGGGTTTTCTGAACAAAACAAAAACTGATTTTCTATATAAGTTTACTATTGATAACAAAAACGTAGATAAATTAATTATTGACTGCGACTGGGATAGTTTACTCTCACTAGATCATATTAGAGCCTGTCAAAGAATGACTGAAATATTTGCCAATATCTATAGTGCATATGAGAGAAAAACAATTAAGCTCAAACTAAGGATATGTGAGAATGCATGGATTACCACCGAAATAATGGAGCTCTGCAAAGAAAAGGATAAACTGTGGCACACGTTTAAAGTTAACCCTGGAAATAGCGCATTAAAAGAAGAATTTTGAGGCCTCCGTAGTGAGGTTACAAAACAAATAAGTCTGGCGAAGAAAATACATTATCTTGCTCGTTTACAGGCTCATTAGACTAACCACAAAACATTTCGGATATTGTTCACGAAATAATTGGTGGTAAAGTAAAAAAATATCTACATATATTCATCAAATACTGTCAAATTTTTTTGTGACGCCGATGTACAATCTCTGTGCAGTAGGTTTAATGCCTCGTTCATACAAGGTTCAACAAATTTGCAAAACTAGAGACGAGGCCGTTCTTGCATCTCAGCCACCTCTATAGAAATATGTCGAAACTATGGCTACTTGCCACAGATATTAGAAGAATACTTAAAAACATTTATTTAAAGTATGTCGGTGGCCAAACAAGTTGGGCGCAGTGATTCGCTTAAGGGACATTGCAGTCAATTTCGAAAACCGAAAACATCTCTTACGAAAAATAGTTAACTCCTATTTTTGTGATAAAAAAATCCCCAATGGTCTTAAAATTGCTGCAATGAGACCTGTTTTTTTTTTTTTTTTTTTTTTTTTAAGGAAACGAAGAAGCAGAAAAGATATGTCAAACTATAGACCAATTTCTATTTCGTCCGTACTATCCGTTAATATGGAAAAGTTTGTATTTCGGTTTATGATCTCCTTTTGTGATAAACAGTCTTTGTCATCCACAGCAAGGGTTTAGACAAATAGAGGAACTATCCCACTGCTGTAAGATCTGTCGGCCCTCATTCATCATAATACTGATAAAAATAACTTCTTCTTTCTATATTTCTAGATCTGCAAAAAGCGTTTGATTCAATTGACCACAGCTTACTCATATACAAATTAGAACACCTGGGCTTCAGAGGCCCGTGTATAAAATTCTCAAACAACTGCCTTTCAGAACGAAGTAAACTATTAAAAATTGGTAATTTAAAAATTACTCTAGTGACGACTACTTCTGGTGTCCCCCAAGGATCTATTTTAGGTCATTTTTTTAAATATCTACGTTAACCAAATGGTTAAACTTAACATTTCTTCGCACGTCTTTCAATACGCCGATGATACTGCTCTTTTACTCGCGGGAAAGAATGAATTGGAAGCTCTGTCCTCCCTTCAACCCAATATCTAGGAGCTAATGACTTGGTTTAGAAACGGTCGTATACATGTTAACATAGATAAAACGGAATAAATATGTATCCGTAATCCTCACAAAACAATAACATTTAATCTACCGCTGGAACTATTTCAATCTAACTGCAAGAATGTTACTGTAGACCACTTGAATACGTATCATCAATAAAATATCTGTGTGTGTGTGTTTTACATTTTTCTTGGAACAGCCACATGGAGTATCTTGCGAAACGACTTCACGCAGTATCTGCATTTGTATATATCGTTTGCGAGCAGTTTCCAGCTTTACTTCGAGAATGAGGGTTGTTGAAACTTCGGGGTAGTCGGTACTTCGGTGCGGTATAACAGCTTACGGTTCTTGTTCGAACTCCAGAAAAAATAAATAAATTAAAAGTATTTTGCATAATGTTGCTAGAAATCTAGCACACAGAACAGAAAGGAAAGAGTTGAGAATTAAGTCAAAAATGCGGTTCTTACAGCTTTTGTCAATTTGAAGATTGTACATATCTATGAAATATAAGTTTAAAACTATTTGAACAGTTTGTATAAAACACTAGTAAAAAAAAGGTTTCAAGAAAAATAGAACGGAATTTGCCCTGCCTAGCCTATACACAAATTACGGAGAGCAAATACGGTTTTCTACGTTCCTCACTACTTTAATTTGTTGCCTAGCGAACTTTTACACCTACAGTCGTTGAGATTGATTAAAAAAGAACTTAGAACTTGGTGTTGTGAGAACAATGTTTAACTTATTATATGCCTTAAGCGCAATAAGTCCTTTCGTTTTCTTTTTTTTTTCTATTTGCAGTTATCTCTGCTGGTTGTCAAGTCACACCTACAAGCGTT